CAAGAAAGTCCACCACCGGACTGGTCCTGATGTGTGGACAGCATACCTTGAAGTCTTCATCAACTCTGCAAACGACGATATCGTTGTCTTCGGGCGAATCGGAGTATTACGCCATCGTTAAAGCAACGGCATCAGTGCTCGGGATACGAGAATTGTTCCGAGAATGGGGAGTTGAGTTGGACTGCATGGTTCTTTCAGACTCCAGTGCAGCCAGAGGAATGTGCAGTCGACGCGGGCTGGGCAAAACAAGGCATGTACAGACCCGCTACTTGTGGGTTCAGCAGAAGCTCAAGGAGAAAGAGTTCGAGTTGGTCGCGGTGGGCACCGACAAGAACGTTGCCGACTTGTGCACCAAACCTTTGAGCGCGGAGACTTGCTGGAAGCACATGCATGCTTTAGGCCAGTACGCAAAGACCGGCAAGAGCTCGGCTGCAAAAGCCGTAGAGTGAAGATTCATCTGCAAAGCAGAAGAATCTTAGGAGGGGTGTTTGGATGTAGGGTATGTACATACTATACACGTACCCCGACTTTTGGCTCAAGGGAAATAAGCGCGAGCTGCCGGGTTTGAGCGTCCATATACATTTTCACTTATAGCTACTACTACAGTTTAGCATTGCAACAACACCATGTCCCCTTTCCAGGTGGAAGCCAAGCCGTGGTGCTCGAAGAAGCTCATTTGCATCCTTGTGACTCTCACGATCTTGGCAGGAGCCGCAATCGCCGCTTTCTGGCCCCAGAATGTGTCGTGGCAGTTGACCAATTTGGATGTGCTTGATCAAGCTTCATTGACCTTCTTTGTGATGGCCTTCAGCAATGGCCTCTCCAACAACGCTACTTTGCCAGACATCACCTTTCACGCAGGAGCCAAGATTGAAAACCCCAACTTCTTGGGTGGGACTGCAGAGTCTGGCGAGTTCAAGGTCCTTTTCCAGGGCAAAGAGTTGGGTGGAGGTCGCAGCGATCCTGTGGATGTTCCGGCTCTGGGGAGCAATACGGTGGAGGCGGATGTGCGGGTGAAGCTCAATCCCACCCTGTTCCATGAGCTCACCACTGACGTGCTTGCAAATTCCCTCCACACAAACATCACAGTCCAAGGTGGAGCAATGGTGAAATCGATCTTCGGATTGCAAGTGCGCTGCAGGATGAAATGTGACATTTTGGCATCAGTCTCTGAAATCTTTGGAGACACGAAGCAAGCAGTCATTGAAAAGAAGACGTGTGTTTACCACTATTTCTGAGTTTTCACGCCACCCTTCCAAAAAGCCCACAGATTTTAGCTAACGGAAAATGGAATTCATTGGCGGCACGGCTGGTAAGATCCATGCCCCAAACCGAGCAAGGCACAAAGGACTTGCTCCTTAGTCCAGGTCCGCACGTTTGTTACACCTGCGGTTCCGGCATGCATGTATTTCCACCCGCAAGGGTCCTTGAAATTCGGCGTTGTTCAAGAGCTCAGCCTGTTGCAGTGACCAAAAAGAACTTCCATCTTGAGTTGAAATGGTCTTCCATGTAATCATCCTTCAATTTTACCGCATGGAAAACGACCTCTAGGGGGGCGTCAGGCCTGCTCATAAAGAAAATTCAATCCTTTATATAGTCAGTTGGTTGTCGTACTTACTTGGAGCGTCCAAGCTTCCTATCCCCGCAAGACATCTTGCTTTCCGCTGAGGTTGAGGAGCCTGCAAGGCCATCAGAGGCCATTGTCTCTCACAAGCTGGTTGGAATACACTTCATGGATCTAATTCCATGTGTTCATGTTTACTGCTTTGTTGGTACGAGCCTTGGATGAGGTACTGCCTCGACATCCCCGAGGGCCTTATGCTCAGAAAGTTGTGAACACCGGGGATGCTTAGATGATCCAACACCCAGGACAAGGCCACGTGATGCCCTCAGCACCACAACCCAGGCAAGGCTTAAACTTTCACATGTGCTGCAGCAATGTGTTCCTTCTGTCAAGGGGGTTCTCGAAAACCTCAAGACAAATTCGAGCCTTATTTCGGGTTTGGCATGCACACACAGATATATATATATATAGTACCGTGCTGTATTTTGGAAGAAATGATCTGCGCCAACAAGGTCCCGATCTTCCATTTGATGTGGGGTCGGAAAATGGCCCGAGGCCAGATGAAATGGAAGAAATACCCGGAGCCATATCCATGTTCCGATTTCTTCCATTTGAATGGTTGCAGGTGGTTTTCCTGTCAAAAAAAAAGGAGAGAGAAGGAAGAAGGAAAAAGGAAGAGGAAGCGGGGAAGAGGAGGAGAAGGAAAAGGAAGAGGACAAGGAACAGGAAGAGAAGAGGAAGGGGAAAAGGAAAAGGAAGAGGAAGAGCAAAAAGAACAGGAAGGGGAAAAGGAAAAGGAAGAGGGAGGGGAAGAAGACAAGGAAGAGGAAACGGAAAAGGAAGATAGGAAGGAAGAGGAAGAGGACAAGGAACAAGAAAAGGAAGAGAAGAGGAAGAGGAAAAGGAAGAGGAAGGGAAAAGGAAAACACAAAGGAAGAGGAAGAGGAAGAGCAAAAGGAAGAGGAAGGGGAAAAAGAAAAGGAAGACGAAGGGGAAGAAGAAAAAGAAAAAGAGGAAAAAGACGAGGAAGCGGGGAAGAGGAAGACAAGGAACAGGAAAAGGATTTACTGATCAGAGATGAAGATTAGAAACCAAATGGAAGAAATACGACCAGGAAGCAAAAAAAGGAAAAACAACCAACAACCAATAAAGGTTTCGGAGAGTATTAGGTTATTCTCCTCTTCAGATCAGGCGACGTGCACGCGTGGAAAAAACAGTCTCTCCCTGCCATTTCTCTCAGTTTCTTTAATGACAGAGCAAGCCTTTAGTACAAATGGAAGAAGTTGAACACCTACTTTATGCTACAGGGTATTTCTTCCATTTGCTGTTGCCTGGATTTTCCTCGAAAAATGGATCTTCCATTCAATAAATTGTCTTAATATCTTCCAAAATACAGCACGGTACTATATATAATATTACATTGGCGATTAAGGAGTCGTAACGTCACAAGCCAACCTTAGCTAGCAGCAAGAAGCCTGTATATATGACCCGCAGCAAGAAGTCACTCTTATAAGTTATAAGGAATACGGTTAGGCTCTTGTTGAGACCGTTTTGCCAGAGGTTTGACCAAGTCTCATGTGAGACTCCGCCCGTTGTTTTTCTGCCAAAGCTTTTGAGACCTGTCAGGCGACGCATCTCAGCAGCCGCAGCACCACCCCAACAGAGGTCTCGGAGGTCCTGTCGAGGCTCCATCTCCCAAACTGGACGCAGAGAGGCTGAAAGTTGCCAAATCCACATAGGCTAGTTCACGGCTAGGAGCCCTTTCGGAATCCACAGTGTTCACAAGTTAGCAAAATTCCGGAGAGTCCCCACATCTGGGGCTATACAGTAGTTCCCCCATGGAGAGGGGATGCTAACCTTTGGTTTATCTCCAGCGCTCCATGGAGTTTCTTTTCCATTCACCAGCTCGAGCTTGTTTTCTTCTAACGCCGCGGCTGTAGCTTTGTGACAGAGACCAAATGGCAAAGACGAAGCTGATCCTAGGTTATTTCAGCCTTGTGTTTCTGCCTATTTCATTGCTGAGATGTTGCCATTCTGCAAATGTCAAGTGCGCCAAAGCCCAGCAGGTCATCTTCAAATGACAGCCTCTATGTGGACAGTGCAGCCTTTGAGGAGAATGCTTAATATGCCTAAATTCATGTCTCACCAGGTCTCACCGATTCAGATCGGTCAAAGGTGTCTGGACCACAAGAGCTCAGTTGGGAGTCAATGTCGCATGGCCACTGAACACATGACGTTGACTGCCTGGTGCATTCGTAAGTTCCTTCTATCCAGCCAGTCTCTGGTGTTCCACTTTCTGATTCTGATCTTTCTTTCGCTTTTGTGTTGTCCTTCATCCCTGCTGCAGGTCTCGCCCTATGATGAGGCAGAATTGTCATGAGTCCTTCATGGTCATCTTGTCAGGTTGCTTGTGGCAAACAACAGCGGAGCCATCGGCAAAAATCAGCACATGTGTGACAGACATGACCACTCTTCTCCCAGGCCCTAAGTGCAGGCAAGGGACAAGGCACTACTAGCACATCATATTTTCATCCAGATATTGCATGTCACCCCAAACCCGTCGAACATCCCGAGCCATGGCCCGAGAATTGGTCAGCAACGGCCGGCGTAGAGGACAGGCTGAAAGCTCAACCCGCACGTGCTTTTTTTCCAAAAAAGGACGGTGTCTCTTACCGTTGGGGCGCTTTACCGTTGGAAAACCGGACGGTGTCCACAGTCTCTGGCCGTGCCCCACCTATTGTCCTCGTGCAGTCCTCCCTGGCCGCGCTCGCTTGTGTCCTCCTCCTGTCCTCCTTGTGCTGTCCTCTAGCCTGCGCCGGCGAACCCTGTGTCCTCAGTGTCCTCCTTTTGTCCTCCTGATGTCTTACTGTTCCCTGTGTCCTTCTCTTGTCCTCCTGCTGTCTTCTGCGCTGGTTCCCTGCTTGGCCACACTGCTTTCCCTTTCTCCACCACCTTGCCTGGGTGTATTGTCGTGTGGCTGCGGCTACGAATGCAACAGTGATGGAGGGTTTCAATTTTGCCGTTCTCAAACAGCTGGAGACTACTGAATAATCATTAATTACAGACGATACGACAAAATATTGCTGAAACTAGTTGGGGTCTGAGTCTATGCCGGCATATTTATGTTGTATATTGGGTGTTCATTTACTTAAGTTAAAGGCGCGTCTGTCGGTTTAAGCTATGCAGGTGTTCCGATGGGGCCGCTCTTTCCTGCATGCGGGGCTTTCCTGACTTTGGCATCCTGTTGGGTCAATCTTGGAGATGGCTTCGGCACCAAGTCCCGGGCCCGACTGTCTCAATTGGATTTACGATTGGCTCAATTGCATGGCATCACCTCCCTGTCGGCGATTGCTGAGCCGCCGGTGCGAACACGGCCCCCAGATGTCACAGCAGCAACCGCAGTTGAGCGGAGCGAGTGGACGGAGTGTTTCATCAAGAACCCGGAGACTGGAAATGACTGCGTAGGCAACCTTCGTTTGGAAACGTGGATCTTCAGGACCACGGACTACGGGGATTTTCAGCATTTTCTAAAAATCCGCGGTTTTCAGAATGAGGGGCAGCAGGCATCACTCAGCTGCAGAGAACGGCAGATAGATCCTGAGATCAAATGTTCAGAGTGCGTCCGCCTTCTGCGTGGAGGGTATTATGGTCACTTGGGTGTTTCAGTCCCAGCATACCCTCCCCAATCAGATGCTTTGGGCTGCTTGGCATTGTCAAAGCTTATTGATATGCCGGCTCCCTCAACTACCGAAGATGACAGCGGTGACTGGGACGGAGATGAGGGTCGCCAAACCGCTTTCTGCAATAGCGTCAATGTACGCATGGAGCAGGCCAGGAGCCAGCAGTTTTGGGCGTAGCTGTAGCTATATAATGCGCCAAGAAGTCCATGCAGAGACTTTTTGTTCCTCTCAGTTCTGGATTCAACATTTTGTTAGGTCCAGCAAGTGAATAGGCAAAGTGAACATCCCCAACTGCCAACAAGGGGGACCACCTCTCCAGTACGGCTTTGAGCCTTTGAGCATCGTTTCTTGCAGTTCCAGCAGTCGCTGCCAGGTTGGCGCCTGAGAGTCATGAAAAAGATGCAGCTGACTTAGCGTGTTCGGAATCTGACACAGCTGCATGCGTGACGAGTAATATCACCAGATAGGAGGCCATTGGTTGGAGGCCATTGCTATTAGGTTGGGCCATTGCTATTGGGTTGGAAGCCATCGCTAGTAGGTTGGAGGCCATTGCTATTAGGTTGGAGACCATTGCTATTAGGTGCTTTCTTGGGTTGGCCATCGCTAGTAGGTTGGAGACCATTGCTGGTAGGTTGGAGGCCATTGCTATTAGGTTGGAGGCCATCGCTAGTGGATTGGAGGCCCTTGCCAATTGCTATTTTGAGTGTGTTCACACACCATACAGGTTAGAAGAGGTGTAGGGTGGAGGTGGGATGTGGGCCATTTTGGCTCAAGTCCCACCTCCTGTACTTGAACTCCTTTTGTTTGGTACGGAGGTCGGTTGGAAGCGCGCGTGCTCCCATGGCGTTGTTTGGGGCCTGGGATGCCCTCAGAAGCTTTTCGCAGCTGCCCGATGTTCTCGCACATTTCAATGTGCCGGACGAGATATGGTCCGCCCTGACGTTCAACCTTGGCGATCCTGGCAACAGTATCGCTTGCAAGACATCCTGGATTTTTTCCTTCTTGCTCAGGAAGACTTCTGCTTGGCTTGGCCACTCTGGAGCCCTCACTTTTTGGTCTTCGCCTTGGCCTTGGACATGGCCTTCTTGGTCTTGCCCTGGCCCTTGTTGGTGTGGCCCTTGCCCTTCATGGCAGCTGGCTGGGTCTTGGCAGCTGGCTTCTTGGCTGCCTTGGGCTTTGGCCTTCTGGAGCTGGTCCTGGAGCCAGCTCATGGAGCATGGTCCCACCCAGCCGAAGGGAATCCCTCCATGGGAAACCACACAGCTGGCCACCCCACCTTGCGCATGAACACCCAGCTGCCACATGGCCTCTGTGGGTTCTTTGCAGTGGACCTAGATATCCCACATCGCACTGGTGTGGACAGAGTGGCTGCATGCAGGGAGGAAATGGCTCCATGAACCATGGAAGGAAACAACATGACAGCCACATTGTCTCTAAAACCTACAAACAAAGGCAAGTGTGCAAAGTGAACAGCCAGTGGGCTCTTGCTAGACATCAACTTTTTCCTTCTCAGTCTGGAAGACTGGTGGTGGTCCAATGTGGAGCCCTGCTTGGCCTTGACCTTCTTGGCCTGGTCCTTGGACTTCTTGATCTGGCCCTTAGCAGCCTGGCCCTTGGTAGCCTAGCTCTTGGCAGCTGGCTTCTTGGCCTGACCCTTCTTTGGCTCGTGGGCCTGGGCCTTGTTGAGCTGGTCCTGGAGGTAGTCTTGGTGGAGCATAGTGGGTTCCTGCAGTGGAGCTGGTGGCCCAGCTGGCAGTCAGCTCATAAGAGCATCAGTCAACTGCAGGGATGCTGGATCATCTATCCAACATCCCTGCAGGCAGCTGATGCTAATGTGTACCCTGGTACAGCAGTGGCCACCACGGCCGCCAGGAAGCCTGGCTTGGCAACAGCAGTGGCCACAGCAGTGGCTGGTGGGCACAGTGGCTGCAGGGAAGAAAAGCATTTCAACCACCTGGTCTGATTATAGCCATGTGGCTCAATAAAGGATTGTAGAAGTTTGTGGGCTTGGGAGGTCTTTTCTTTTTTGGATTGAACTATATTTGTGTATATGGACTTGTGTGCCTGTGTTGATATATGTCCAATCTAAAAAACAAAATGTGATGGTGCCACTTATGAAAAAGTTTTACATAGCCAACAGCCACAAGGCTTTCAAGATAAACAGCCACAAGGCTCTTGCAAAAAGTAAAACTACACAAGGAATTTGAACTGGTAATGATAATTGGAACATGAAACAGCCACTGGGCTCAGAATGCTGCAACAATTTCAGCTCTTTTTCCATACACAGAGCAAGTTGCTCTCAGTGGTTCGACCTTCTGGCCTCAGTCACTCCACTCCATCTCCAGCAGCCAGTGGTTGATCTGGTGCCATGGCTCACCACAAATGCAGTGGCCATGCCAATAGCAGTTCAGGACTGGTACCTGCAGTGGGGGCAGGCCCATCTCTGGTTCCAGAGCCTCTCCCACTTGGCTGGCCATGGTCGCCCATTGTACCAGGTTGGGTCATCGCTGGTCCTTGGCTGAGCTTTGGGTGCACCTTTGTGGGATCCTCTGGCTGGCCACTTGGCCTGGTACCACATGTGGCTGGTGGGCACAGTGGCTGGTGGGCACAGTGGCTGTTGGGCACAGTGGCTGCAAATCATGCTCTTTGTTCTACTTTTGGCCTCAGAAGCCATTTGTACAGATATTGGAACCATTGGTATATATATATATACATAAATCCAGAAACATGTATGGTTGGTGTGGATTTGTACATAGCCACAAATCAATTGAACGATGGGAAGGGCAGTGGATCTGATTCTCAGAAACTTGGTGCCATCTGGACCATCCACCACGAGTTCTGGTGGAATCACAATGGCCTTCTCATCTTGGTAGGATATCTGCATGGCATAGCTAATTTCCACCATGGCTATATAGGTGCTGGCTGCTTGGTGTCTTCTCCAGCTATTGGTCTTTGGTTTTGGAGCAATATGGCTAGAGGCTAGATGTTTCTTTGATATCATGATAGCCATGGTTGGCTCTGCCTGTGCAAATTTGGTTGTATATATGGTTGATACTATTGTTTTTACTTATTCGGATGCATACACTAAAACAATGGTGGCATGAATGACAGCCATGCTATGGCTCTTTCAAAGGACCAGTTGATATATGCAATAACAGTCTGTTTGCATGACAGCCATGGAATGGCTCTATATATGTATATACATACATAGGTGTTTATCTAAAAAACTTTGGAGCTGTATGCTGCATGTATTTTGAGGGAGGGGTGTTGGGTACAATGTGGCAAAATGTTTGTTGAGAAGGCTGTGGCTATAATATTTTCTCCATATGACTGTGAAAATCCTATGTGTGTGTTTTCAAAGGCTTGCTTGGTCTTTTTAAAATATCTTTTGAAATCTCAATGACAGCGTGTCAGCTCATGAGTTTGGGAATTTTCCCACAGGTAAAAATCAGGAAATGAATCCTATAGATTTTCCTTAATTTTTGTCTTCGTGTGTGGGCCAAAATTATCTTAAATGTTGCATCATGCTCCTAGAAAATGTTTTTGGACAACATATTTTTTTGAATATTCAATGTTTTCAGCCATCTGTGCCTTTGCTTTCTGCCGTTGTTTTTTTGTTAAAAATCATGATGTTAAAAAGCTAATTCCATCAACAAAAACTATAACTAGTTAACATAGTTAACATGAGTTAGCTAAAAAAACTTGAAACGTTACTATCATATGTTAAACTAGTATAAAAGTTATGCATATTTATGCATTGTTACAACTAGTTCATACATGGTTATAATTAGTTAGTACATAGTTATAAAGAGTTATATAAAAATTACAACTCCACCTAACATACTTGAAGGTTCCCGTGTAAAGTGCACCTCATATGTATAGGCACAGTTCATGAACATTGTACTTTTGGCTCAAGTGATGAAAAGGTCCGCAGCCGCTGCCACTTCGCGGTCACGACGGATCTTAACTTTGACTTGTTGCTTGGTGTTGTTTGCGTTGGCGTTCCGTTTTTCAACGGTTCAAGTGGTTATCAGCCGTATCGGCTTTTGATTGTTTTTCGGTTTCTGTTACAACACTACAACATCATTCATTAGTGTGGTTGCGGGGTCCACAGAAAACCCGTGCATGTCAAGTCGGCGTCCTCGAGAGCCTTCCCGTTCTCCACCGCGTCGACCGTGGCGGCCTCCTGAGCCGCCAGGGCCGACACCAAGGAGGCCACCAACGCCTCCGGACCCTCCGAGGCGTGGCATTCGGGGAGGAGCTGCCGCACGGCGACGCAGGGAAGCGTACATGGTCAATTCGGGAGGCGATCGAGCGACGATCCCGATTGTTCACGCTGGCGGTCAGAGAAGGCCACTTGGAGCTTCTAGGTTTTGGGAGCCGAGTGCAAGCGAGGATTCGGGTGAGGAGACTGACGAAGTTGAGATTGTTGCATTTACAGCGGCAGTTGATTTGACTTCGTTGCAGGCTGAGCATCTTGTGCCGCGTTCAAGGCTCTACAATCCGTACGTCTTCGATCATTCGCCCGGCTCGTCAAGTTTGGCTGCGGCCCCAAGGCCTGTTCCGAGTCGAGCGGATTCGAGTGTTGTTGACACGCCTGCCGGAAATCGGCCTTACGACATCCTCAAGTACTACCACCCGGCGCCTGGAGTCGTTCTTCACCCGTGGTCGCGAGTTGACATTGTTTACAGAGAGGCCTTGACTTTTCCGTCTTCAGCCAAGTTTTACGTGTGGGCGAACGGTGATACGTTGAGGCTGGCTGCAGAAAGGCCGAATCACTGGGGCTCTGATCCGGTGATTGCATTGGACTACCATCAGGTCCTTGACGTTGATCGGAGTGTCAATCCTCCGGATCGTGTGGATCATATTGGTAATCTGCCTGCGGGCCACGTTGCAGCAGTTCGTCGCTTGCGAAGGGAGATTGAAGAGGTCGGCTTGCGTTGTCGAGTGAAGATCATTGTTTTGTCGCACATTCACGACAGTGTGGTGAACGAGAGGAACTTGATCACTGCAGTACAACAGAGTTCATTGTCGGTTGATTGTGTGATCATCACTCGTGAAAGGACGGGCCCAGGTGGAAAGTTTGAGGTGCTGAGATCGTTGACTCGTGGTCAGGCTGTGATTTTAGACGACAACGTTGAGGTGCTGCGTGAGTTCAGTGCAGCGAGCCTCATCGC